GTGAAGCAGTTATTTGGGGTAGTTCTATTCTCAGAGGAATTAAAAAAACCCAACTGTGTTTCTAAGGGCCAGTTTTTCTCATCATAGGAGCAAAAGCTCAGAATAAACAAATGGTTCAGATGAGAAAAATGAATCCTGAACCAGTTCTGGGAAAGGTATACATTCTAGGGAATGTATTATGGAGGAAATCCATGCTTACAAGCAGGTATCATTTTGACAACAGGTTTGACTGAAAAAAAAATGAACGTGGTCATAGAGGAGAATGTTGAAAATGTGAAAATGTTTAAAAGATAAAAATGTTTTGTTTCAGAATTATGCAGATGCATGCAATTTGATTATTCCTTCCAAAGCAGTAATTAATAAGTTGAGGTTCAAATACAGCTTTTAGAGTGATGAGTAAGTAAAAATTTAGCAGGAAAATATCACTAGGAGGTCAAGTATTTTTAAATTACCTCCAGATTAAGCTAATGATGTATTTACTTGTTTATTTGCTTGTGGATATCACTGAAAACAAATAAATATAGTTTTCACTTTTGTTTTGACTTCAGGATTTAAAAACTAATCCACACTTCAGTCCCTGCTCAACCCAAGCTTGGATGGGTTGAAGGAGGGGGGTAATGAAAAGCCAGCCAATATCCTTGCTCCATCTGAAACCCCTTCTGCATGGCTGGGTGTTGCAATGCAAGTCACTGCTGGAATGTACTATGTCATTCTGGCAAGAAGTCAACAGGCTCAAACTCCTCAAATAACCAAAGCCTGGTACTAAGAAAGCAGTGGGACAGGCAGCAGCCCAGACAGCCAGTCCATTAGCAACTTAACCACAGCAGATGTAAACTCACCAACAGAACTCCCCACGGAGTCTCCCAAAGAGCCAGATGCTACTGCTATAAAAAGATCTTCAAGGAACCTGGCAAGTCTCCTGCCCACAACTTTTTTTAAAGAAACTTTCTCTACATGACAGGTTATTTTATTGATTTATATTTTTTTTTTCTTTTTAATTTTTGATTAGGGGTAAAGGAGAGGAGCAGGTGAAGAGAAGAAGAAAATACTGCTGATTAATTTTGATTTGCTTGCGGGTGAATCTTGTGCTCATGAAAACAAAACTCAGACATAATGTGTCCTGGGAGACAGGAGGCAGTAGATGGAATTCCAGGTTCTCCCCAGGCTTTGCTTATGCACCTTGGACTGTCCTGTAGATCTTTCCTCAGGGAGCCCTGACAATGCACTGGGGGTGAAACACTAGCATGTGTTTTATTCTGCTCTGCTTCCCTGGGCCCTTGGTGAGGCCAGTCTGCCTTGTGTGCTGCATCTTGTCAGTCCTCTTGGCTGGTGCACATCAGCTCAGGTGGTTGTGCTTGGCCTGTTGGTCTTTGGTTCTCCTGTTGCTCCATCAAAAGAACTGCTTGCTCATTTACAACACTGCTAGTTCTTCAAGCTTTCCTGAAACAGCTGGGAGCCTCATGTATGTCCCAGCTGCTGGATTCATGTTATAAGGATGAAGGAATTCTCTCCTGTGAGGGTGGGGAGCTCCTGGCCCAGGTTGCCCAGGGAAGCTGTGGCTGCCCCATCCCTGGCAGTGTTGAAGGGCAGGTTGGATGGGGCTTGGAGCAGCCTGGGCTGCTGGGAGGTGTCCCTGCCCATGCAGGGGGATATGAACTGTACATTTTTTAAGGTTGGTTCCAACCCAAACCAGTCTGTGATTCAATGATTTTAGGAACAGCAACAACAAAACCAGAAATAATATGTACTCCTCATGATAGAGACACCAGTTGTGCCAATGAGAATTAAAGTCTAAGACAGATGGGGACAGCAACTCTGCAGATACCTGTGCTTAGAGGGGTGAATGCCACCTCTGTGCCCAGCTGAGAGGCTCACCTGCCTCTGCAGTGAGGACAGGTGTTGTTTGGGGAAAGTATGGTGAAATATTCTGCAAACTTTATAATATCTCCAGATGACCCCTTTCTGGGAGTTTGAGTAGTGTCAGGGTGGTGGTTTGAGGTACCAGTTAAGGAAGAAAGCAGCTGATGGTCCACTGGAATAATCAGAGTTTCTCCTGCACCAAAGCTGTACCTGACCTGGTAGCTACATCTCTCTGAAATGAGGTCAGAACAAGCAACCATGCTTTGATTTTCAGGGCAATTTTGACTGGTTTGACCCAGACTAGGCCATGCAGGACTCACTGTGTGATGCCAATAGCCCAATATAGAGATGAGTTTTGGTGACAGACCCACGGGGGATGGAGGACAAAGAGGTGATTTTCAGGGCAATTTTGACTGGTTTGACCTAGACTAGGCCATGTAGGACTCATTGTGTGATGCCAATAGCCCAATATGGAGATGAGTTTTGGTGACCCACGGGGGATGGAGGACAAAGAGAAGGTTCACAGATGGTACCTGCTAGCAGAGTGTTTCTGTACTGAACCTTTGTAGTGCTCCTCAGTTGAGTCCTAGAGCTCAAGGCATCTTTAATCTAGAGGTATCTTTGTAAGAGTATTGCAGAAGACAGGAGACATTCCCACGTGATTACACAGCAGGAAAGGGAGAAAGAACTACATTGTCCAACTGCTGCAGAACTGAATCAAAACAACACTGGGCTATCATGAGGGTCTAAATACATTTTTACCAGATGGTGAAGGCAAAATGCCTATAAAATGGTGTTTGCTACAAGACTAACTAGGCCCTAGGAAATCACAGGAACCAATGCTGAGAATAGAAGCAGGTGCCCCCAGAAGGAGTCCTGAGGAGGAGATGGACCACTCTTGGTGACCCTACCTAGTGTCCAGCTCTGGCACACTAGAGCAGACCTAGTTGTTCATCTCATGGCTTTACCAATGGCCCGTTCAACCAATGACTCCTTTTAAGACCAATGCTTCAGAGGTGGTTTCTTCACAACCAGTGATCTATGGTGACTCTTTTTTGTTTTGCCACTAACTTATACCTCTGGGTACAGTTAACCCAGGCTGGATACCAGACATTCCAGTTTTATCAGCATTTACTTCTCTTGCCCTCTGCTCTAGCTCATTGAATTTCCTTTAGCATTGCAGTGTTCCTGCCATCAGCTGGATCCTGCCTTTAGCTCTCTAACTGCTCCTTTTCTAATACAGCTGTTCAATGGTACATTTTGTTACAGCTCATATACTCATGTAATGTGATAGTCTGTGTTCTCCTGTTCAGAGCAACCCTGCTCTGAGGGGATGACCTGGTTGGTCATTGCTGTGCAGTTTTGCTCCCAGTATTCCAGTATTCCATTGATTATCTTTCCTCCACTATGTATCCAAGTTATCTGATTCAGCAATACCTCTTGCTTAAATGAACTATTGCACATTCAGACATTTGGGTATTTCCTAACAAACTGTACTAGCCTCCAAGTTCTCTTTTCTCCCCACCCTCAAAAAATATTCCTTTCCTTTCCTTTCCTTTCCTTTCCTTTCCTTTCCTTTCCTTTCCTTTCCTTTCCTTTCCTTTCCTTTCCTTTCCTTTCCTTTCCTTTCCTTTCCTTTCCTTTCCTTTCCTTTCCTTTCCTTTCCTTTCCTTTCCTTTCCTTTCCTTTCCTTTCCTTTCCTTTCCTTTCCTTTCCTTTCCTTTCCTTTCCTTTCCTTTCCTTTCCTTTCCTTTCCTTTCCTTTCCTTTCCTTTCCTTTCCTTTCCTTTCCTTTCCTTTCCTTTCCTTTCCTTTCCTTTCCTTTCCTTTCCTTTCCTTTCCTTTCCTTTCCTTTCCTTTCCTTTCCTTTCCTTTCCTTTCCTTTCCTTTCCTTTCCTTTCCTTTCCTTTCCTTTCCTTTCCTTTCCTTTCCTTTCCTTTCCTTTCCTTTCCTTTCCTTTCCTTTCCTTTCCTTTCCTTTCCTTTCCTTTCCTTTCCTTTCCTTTCCTTTCCTTTCCTTTCCTTTCCTTTCCCTCAAAAAATATACCTTTCCTTTCCTTTCCTTTCCTTTCCTTTCCTTTCCTTTCCTTTCCTTTCCTTTCCTTTCCTTTCCTTTCCTTTCCTTTCCTTTCTTTTACTTTCCTTTCCTTTCTTTTCTTTTCCTTTCCTTTCCTTTCCTTTCCTTTCCTTTCCTTTCCTTTCCTTTCCTTTCCTTTCCTTTCCTTTCCTTTCCTTTCCTTTCCTTTCCTTTCCTTTTTTTCCTTTCCTTTCCTTTCCTTTCATTTATTACACCCCAGAAAATGATCCCACTTAATCCATGTGCTTTTTCACACTTCTCAACTTTATACTGAGGCTTTTCCAAACAGCCTTTATTTCCCATTTCCCCTCCCATCCCACGGCCACAGAAACAATGGTGAAACCAGGTGATAAAGGATTCCATGTTTTACTGCAAAAAGCTACAGGACCAAGATATGGATGCGAGAACAATTTCCAGTTTGCACTGGGAATCACTTTATGCTTGTTTCATAGGTCAGGCTGGAGTGGGAAGTAATCCTTGTGGAGAAGAGAGATACATTATAACACACATTGTGTTCACTTCTGCTTCATTTTTTGGTTGTTTTTCCTTTTACATTGTTAATGGTGGGATCTTCCAAAGCTGAGAAACACCTAAACTAAGTTGTGTTTGCTGGAAATTCTACTTTTCCAGTTCTCTGAAGACTATGAGTATTGTTTGCATGTATGAAATTCATACAGCTGGTTTAGTTCCTTTTCTGCCTTCTTCCCTCACTGCTATTTTTATTATTATTTTTTTTTTACAAATGCAATAAACACCAAGAGAAAGGCCCAGTTGTTTTGCAAGGAAGAGGAGAGGGAACAAATACACTTTAAAAATTGATTTATTCATTAAAATTTGATCACTTTTCTCCCCTTTTTGTTAACAATTTTGTATTGCTGTATAAGCTCTGTATCACAAAAACAAAAAATATGGGAATGCCCAGGTATTCCTAGTTCAGATTCCAGTTTTTTCAGTTTCCTGAGTGCTTTGAATCTTTACAGAGGCCCATGAGGAAACAAGACAAACGAAACAAAAAACACATTTACCCAAATAACTTTAGGGGCAGCACATTTTGTAGCTCTGTGATGGGAATCTGGGATGAAAAATGAGGAGACATTCCCTTACACTGAAATCCAAGGCCAGTATCTGGGGTTCCCGGCATCTGTCTTGTCCTAAAAATAAAGTGATTTTTAAGCATCAGAGGAAGATAGAAGAACCAAACAATGTCACTAGGAATCAGCTTCAGCTTATTGGCAGCAAGGCCTGAAGCTGAGTGTCTTTGCACTAAGTAGATGCCAACTAACATCAAAGAGCAAATGCCCAGCATGACAAAATAACCTTACTTGTCTTGCACTGAGTGATGGACAAAACATGGGAAGCAGTGATATGGAGAGGAAATACAGCCATGTCAGACATGAAGACAAGGTAAACACTCAGCTTTTCAGAAAAACAATAAAGCTCCTGAGCCACTGGGCAACTTCTCCTACTTCTGTTATCCCTCTATTATCCGTAGTCAGTCTCTCATGAGCAACATTTGAGCCCTGGGATTTCTCTAAACTAACATCTAGATTTCAGGCAGGATTCTGTTCCCAAACCATAAGCATCTGATGCAATTTGAGGAAGCAATGAGTTTCCAACCACCCCCTGATTATGTATTTTTTATTATATTCAGTATTTTGTTACGGGTAAAAAGGGGAACGCCTCATGTATGAAGCTGAGAACTTGACAGTCTGACTAAAAGCTGTAACAGGGTAACCAAAATGCAAAAAAAATATTTATTACTACTTTAGTTACAATTATATTAATGCAATCTGAATCATCTAAGTAATTCAAGACACTCCTGATCACAGTGACAACCACCTCAGGCCGTGGCGAGTTCAGCATCATCCTGAGACCTGACAGCGTTGGGTCAGTGCAAAGCCCATGGCCTTCTGCTAGTGATATTTGCTGGGCTCTATTTCCCTCTGAGAAACACTGTAGGCCTCAAGGTCCATCCTGTTGGCTGACAGGACCTGGCTGGCCAAGTGACTACTTTTTCTCTCCTTCTCCAGGTGTCTGTCATGCGTGGAGAGCCCTTACCGGTGTCACTGGTGCAAGTACCGCCACGTCTGCACTCATGACCCCAGCTCCTGCTCCTTCCAGGAGGGACGAGTCAAGCTGCCCGAGGTAGGCAGGGACATGGGCCATGCTCAGGGATGATCAAAGAATCATAGAATAATTCAGGTTGGAAAAGACCTCTAAGATCATTGAGTCCAACCATGACTCAGCTACCATGAATGCATAGACACCCAAGAGATAAGCCTTGAGATAAGATTGACTCTGCTCATCACACTCTGCTCATTCAGTCACATGGCAGGGGTAAAGGTCATAGAATCCTAGAATGCCAGGTTGGAAGGGACCTCAAGGATCATTTGGTAATGCTATAGTTTATACAAGACAGCTCAGCACCCTGAGCCATCAGTTACGTGCATTCCCCTCAGAGGTGGTCCATGTGGTCCATGCACAGATCCCACAGCCCTGCCCCATATTACAGCGGCCACTGGACCACGAGCAGAGTCCCAGCTGTGTGAGAAAGCTTGATGTCTCCTGCTGCCCATGTCTTTC